TCTTCAGAAGAGCACTTTGATTCTCTATCAAATGACTCATACCTGCTTTACAAATGGGCACACTTAACCTGTGACAAAGGGCACATTTTTTGGTCTTCAGAAGAGCACTTTGCTTCTTTATCAAATGACTCATACCTGCTTTACAAATGGGCACATTTAACCTCTGACAAAGGGCACATTTTTTGGTCTTCAGAAGAGCACTTTGATTCTCTATCAAATGACTCATACCTGCTTTACAATTTAAGAACACATTTAACCTCTGAAAAAGTGCACATTTTTTTCTCTTCAGAAGAGCTTGTTCATACTCTAACAAATAACTCAAAACTGCTTGCAAAAGGGCAAATTTATTCTGTGGCAAAGGATGTTAAACAGCTTTAGAGATGGGCGCATGTTTTTCTCTACAGGAGAGAACTTCTCAATCAAATGACACATAACTGCTATGCAAAAGGTGCACTTTTATTCCCTTTCAAAAGGTGTTTAACTGCTTTAGAAAAGGATTTAATATGATTTGCTCTTTGGTTCTTAAGCAAATGACGCATAACTGCTCTGCAAAAGTGCACATTTATCCTCTGACAAAGGGTGCATAACTGCTTTAAAAGGGGACTCATTTTTTTGCTATAGAAGGGCACTTGTCTATATTTTTGTTTTGAAAAATGGCAAATATTTGCTGTTCATAAAGACTAGTTTCTGATTTATAAAGAGGTCATATTTCATCTATACTACAAAGAAAACTCTGACAAAGGGTGCATAACTGCTTTAAAAGGGACTCATTTTTTGCTATACAGAAGAGCAATTTGCTTCTCTATCAAGTGACTCAACTGCTTTGCAAAAGGCACATTTAATACAAAGGTTTGAATAACGTCTTCAAACTTTTTGCTGCTAAATGCAAAGGGCATATTTATACTGTGACCAAGGGTGCATAACTGCTTTATAAAAGGGCACTTTTCTCTACATAAGAGCAATATGTTTCTCTATCAAATGACATACATGTATAGCTGCTTTCCAAAGGGTACATTACATGCATAATTACTTTAAAAAGGACTACTTTTTTGCTCCACAGAAAAGCAATTTTGCTTCTCTATCAAATAATGCATAAAGCTTTCAAAAGAGTACAATTTTACTTCACAAAAGGGCACCTTTCCCCTATATTTAAAAGAGAACTTTCATTTTTACAGTTTGAGGTATTTTTCATTCTATGAAAGAGAATATTTCTACTTTTCACAACTGACACACTTCCATTAAACAAAAGGGCTTCTTTCTGTTCTAAGAAGTACGCATTTGATATGTTTTACAGTACGAGTGACTAGTTCTCCTTTAAAAGGAGATGTCTCTTAGCGTTTCTGTTGTACAAAAGGACTCATTTCTGACTTAANGAGAGATTGTAATTCCCATACAACACGGACGCGAATGTTGTAAACGACTTATAAAACTCCAACACAAATTAACATGAATTACAGTGAGATAAATG